ACGTTCTGTTGGAAAAATTGCAACAGAAATGTCATATGTGGCAACATATGTATATCATAAAATGGTCTTGAGAGGTTGCTTCAATTAAATTGTCACCTAAGTCAACATGTAACACTAACATATAGTCCTACAACATGTCTAATAAAAAAAATTTAGTCTAATATAACAACCTTCCTCAATTCTATCAATTATTTTTACATAAATTATCATTTCACAAGTTCAACATAGCAAGTAACTTCATATGATAGTTATATAAAACCATTGTAAATCTTTGTTTCAAGTGTTATTGAATATTTTTATTGCTTAATTATGGTCCAAATTACTAAAATTTGGTCCAATTTGATAATTTTTTCATTCCTAATCGTTCAATTTATCGATTAAATCATTTTTGAAGTCACATAGGTGGCAACATATGCACGTCCTGTTGGAAAAAATTACAACATGTCATATGTGGCAACATATGTATATCATAAAAGATCTTTTTGGGGTTAAATTCAATCAAATTGTCACCTAATTCAACATGTAACACTAATATATAGTCATACAACATGTCTAAGTATAAAAATATGGTCTAATACAAATTTTCATCAATTTTATAAATTATTTTTATAAAAACTATCACATCACTAGTTCAACATACAATGACCAAGTAAATTCATATGATGGTTATATAACACCCATGTAAATTGGTGTTCCAAGTGTTATAACATATTTTTATTGTTTAATTATGGTGCAAAGTACTAAAATTTAATCCAATTTGACATTTTTTCATTCCTAAATCGTCAATTTATCGATTAAGTCTACCTTGAAGTTACATATGTAACAACATATGCACGTTCCGTTGAAAAAATTGCAACAGACATGTCATATGTGGCAACATGTACATCCTAAAATGTATTTTTTTAATCATATAATATTTCAAAAAAAATAACAGCCCAACCATCCTACAAATAAATAAGTGATAAAATCACTAAAAAGTTTCTGATTTAATACCAATAACTATTAAATTTTATCTTAAAAGATATCAACGATAAACTAGTAATGATGAGGGCAAGGACGGCTTGTTGTAGAAGAAAATCGCAACATATTACCACTGATGTTGTAGACATAGCAAAAATTTTAATTATAATGGAACGAGAGAAAGAAAAGAGAGAAAAGAAAACGAAAATTAGTAAATATAAATTAAATTTGAAATATGAAACAAAACGACCTTCTATAGAGGAGAGGATAGAGGGAAAATGAAGGGACGATTGTTCTAGACATTTTTATTTTACTTTTTTTTGACAAATTCATAGTGTGACATTTGTTACCACATATATCCTTTTTGTTGGGGTACATGCAGATAATTCTATAGTTTTTTTACAACAAAGGTTATATATGTTGTCACATACACCACATTGGTAACAATGAAATGTTGCAACATATCTCCATTCTGTGACATATGTTACCACATATCTCCTTTCTGTGGCATAAGTTACTACATATCTTCTTTATGTGACATATGTTGCCACATATCTTCTTTCTGTGACATATGTTGCTACATATATCCTTTATGTTGGGGCATATGTAGATAATTCTGTGGTGTTTTTTACAACATAGGTTATATATGTTTCCACATATATCCTTATTGTTGGGGCACATGCAGATAATTCTGTGGTGTTTTTTACAACGTAGGTTATATATGTTGCCACATACACCACATTTCTTCTTCTCCATCATAATTGACATTTGTTTCAACAAAAAATATCATTAATATTATCAGCAAAAATAAACACTTCACCAATTGTTTTATACAACTTATAAACAAAAAAGGTAATTCACAGTGATATACATAATCATCAATCTAATCAATGGTGGATATTATTGTTTCACATCACAGATGACTTCAACTTTTTTATCTTTCTTTTTCAATCTCTCTTTCTCTATCTCTAGGTCCTTGTCCTTCTCCTTCTTGTTCTCCTTGCCTTTTGGTTTGAGTGTGATACAGAGCAGTAATCTTTATTTTTTTCTTTCACTAATTATAGATAGTGATTGAGAATTTAGATTTTGTTAATCTCCTACACTTCAAATATTTGTTGGACAACTGAATAAAACTATATTTCTTAAATAATATGAACAAAATGGTCACAGAAAGAGCAACAAAAACAACAAAAAATGAACTTCCACTGAATTTTAACATTACATATACATTTTCTCGAAATTGGGGCTTTTTAGTTTGTTAATTTTCTTTCTAACAATAAATAATAGGTATCATTACACTATTATTCATTTTTCACATCTATTGAACGATTTATTCTTCATTAACCCAAGAAAAAAGCTTAGTATTGTTCCAAAATTGTAAAATCTCTAAAAAAAAATTACTTACTCATTTTAAGTCGAACACAATCTCCAGTTCAGAAAGAGAAGAGAGTCACGATCGAAGATGAGTAGGAAGATAAGATAATGGGGGAGAATATTTATTTTGATAGTCGGATTTTCAAATTTTCTAAAGGAAGAAGAAGAGAAGAGAGAACATTGAGAAAAGAAGAAGAGAAAATCCTATTTTCATTTACTTTTTTTAAAAAAAAATGGTTTGAATAGAATTATAAAAGTTGAAAAAATAAAGTGTCTTTTTGTACTTTATAAAAGATTAAAAAGTTTTAAAAATATTAATTTGGTTCCAAATTTACTTATTTACATTTTAAAGAGGATTTGACCAGCTCTTTGTTAATCTGTCATCAAAACCCAAACCAAGACTTATTTGACACCTTTCATTTAATTTTCTCTACATACTTAGTCTTGTGTATAAGTACAGAATTGACCATTCTATCTATCTATCTATCTATCTATCTATATATATATATATTAGACTAATGGACATGAATGTTCAAATGGAGAAAGCTAAACAATGAGGCAGCAAGTGGAGGATGAGGATAGAATAGACTTATTAGATATAAGGATCAAAGTTAGAAAGGAATCAATTTTAAAGATGGAAGTATTTTGAACTAAAATAGTGAATAATCAGCTGATTCGATAAATATAGGAATATATATTTATCTTCTCAAACATATATTCTAGGTTGCTCTCGTCAAGATGTAAAGTTGATAGATAAAACATGAATCATATGCGAAATGAGAGATATTCGGTTATATGAACAAGTAGCGATTTTATTTTTATTTTAAAAAAACTTAAACTAACATACAAATAGAAGGTAAAAACCAACTCAAGGCTAGGCAAAACAGATTCTATGGAACGCGTACAACAAATAAACTCAAAATAATAGCAACTCCTATGCAAGAAAATCACAAATACCATACAAATCCTGACTCTTTAAACGCCAAAATTGAGACAAACTAATCCAATGGAGATTCACATACTTAGAAACGAGATCAAACTTATAAAGAAAAATAATTGAACCACTCAACATGAGGTCAACAGAGTAATCCGCTAACAATAATAGCAAGTTAATATTAAATTAATCAGTACATCGAGAATATACAATGATTTATATAAGACGATAAAAGTTTACCTTTTTCAAGGCAGCTACTGGGGACGACAAGAAGAGCGATTCCACCACTCTCTTCGAATATTAAAGGCAAGCTATGAAAATTCGGACGACGATCTTCTCTCAACTTAGAATCAAAAGACTAGCCATAAAAATTTGAAGTAGAGCAGTGACAATCTTTAAAACGAAGCTCAAATCTTGTCTTAAGAATCCAAATTCCAAAACCATGTCCTTATCACTTGAGTGCAAAGGGCTATTTATACAGAAATTCTTGGGCGACAAAGGGGCAAAATCCAACTGAATCAATTCGTTCCTTTTCGAGGCAACAGTAAAAAAGTAATGGAGAGTTGTATCTTGCTCTCAAACTCAACCAAAAAAAGGGGAAAAAGGGACGTGTGGGCTTATTGTTAGCACTGTTCACGTCGTTTGGTGCAGCTACTGATGTTGGAGTCGCTTTTTCGTGTTTGCTGGACAATAACGCGTGAAGAAGACGATACTGGGACAAATCGGTGTACTTGGATTTTGGCATGTTCTTGCTGGAAAAAAAACGAGTATGGGGGGCGGGTCATTATGTACGTATAGTATTGTTGTTTGTGGGTTTCTTGGACTTGGTCTTTGGTTTAGGCTGAAAGAAGATTATATTGAGCTGCTGAATTTTAAAGAAAAAGGTCTAAAGCTTTGGGTTTTTTTTTTATGGGTTTAGGAAAGAGAAAAATTACGCGGCTAAGCAAACTTATATTATTTAATTACTCATCATAGTTATAGTTTGCTATAATTATGACTTGCGACTAACATTATACATTAATTACGTGGGCTGACTTCGACTTTGTATAATTAGTCATGTTTGTATATGTATAATTCACCAGGATATACAAATAAATATGTATAATATACAATTTTTTAGACTATATGCATATACAATTCACCTCTCTCCCACTCTCTGCCCTCTCTCCTCACTCTCTCGATCTCGCTCGCCTCTCTCATCCCTCTCCCAATCTCGTTTGCCATTTATACAAATGTATATGTATAATATACAGCTATATATAATTATGTACATATACAATTCACCTCTCTCCCACTCTCTGCCCTCCCTCGCTCGCCTCTCTCTCTCTCGCTCTCGCTCGCCTCTCTCCTCCGTCTCCTAATCTCTCTTGCCATATATACAAATACATATGTGTAATATATAATTATCTAACCAATATACATATACAATTCACCTTTCTCCCACTCTTTTCCCCCTCTATCTCACCTCTCTATCGCAGTCTCCCTCGATCTCTCTTCTTCCATATGATATGTAGTTACAAATTGTAATTATCAAACTATAGATATGGAGAGTAATTAATTATTTTTAAGTGGTTATATGTGAAAGTTTCCTTTTAGGAAATTAGCAGAGAAATTATAACTAAACAAATAACCAATGAATTTGGATTGTAGCCAAATTGAGTTAAGCTAAATTGAGTTAATTAATAAATTTAGCTAAATATTAAATAAGACATATTAATATTAATTGATTAACGAGCGTCTTTAACTTGACGAAATAAAATAATTAACTTAATTATAAGCTAATAACTAGAGAATATATGTCAACTTAAAGTAAACAAATTTAATAAAATACTCTACTAAATAAAAACTAAATCTTTTTAGATGATTTTTTAATATTCATAAAATATATTAATCGTATATACATAGTTATTTAAAACATATATATTACAACAAATTATAAAAATGTGACAAAAATATTTTAAAAAGTTTCCAAACTATGTTTATTTTTTATTTTTTGAAATTTTTATAAAACTAATTATTTTAAATTGTTTGAAATTTAAGAAACTCGATGATAAGTTATATTGTGGAGGGTTAAAATTGGGTGTCAACAGATATATCGTTTAATTTCATATGTACATTAAGATATCAAAACAAACAGTCCCAATAATCTGGTGTTCAAATTCAGAGACAAGATCTTAATATTCAGATGTTTATTCAGATCTACACATCTAGATCTTCATGCATATCTTAATATTCAGATTCAGACGTCTTAATCTTAATGGAAACAAATGAGGCCTAAGGCTATGTTATAGATCTTACTCATTCAGACTCATTAAGACCCATATGATTAACATTCAGACCTAAAAATTCAACGCACTTAATGGACTAAATATGAATGATTATATTCAGATCCTCATTAAGTGCAAAAATAAGGCCTAAGACTTCGCCTCAAATTTGGTTCATTCAGATCCTTTTAGACTCATTAAGAGATTTTTAAGTGATAAAAAAACAAATGCATTTAATGACCTAATGTCCGAACGATTCAAATTTAGACATTTATTAAGTCCAAGCAAATGAAGTTTTAGATACAGTCTAGTTTGCAATATTACGAATCTTACCAGATTTTAATACATCTAGATATACTTTTAGATACCTGGGGAAAAAATTATGTATAATTTGTTCTAGATATATTGCATTCAAATGGATTCACATGTATCTTAATACATAACAAATCTCGTTCACCTCCTTCTCATCTCGCTTGCCACTCTCATATGTATCTAGCATCCAGATGTTGAGAATACAATTAATCCCTCTGTTCCATTTTATGTGGGACATTTGATCGTGCACAGAGTTTAAGAAATAAATGAAGACTTTGAAATGTTTACCAAATTGTTCTTCAAAAGTTGATTCACTTTTCTCTCTCCTCATAAATGTATTTGAGTACTATTTTTAAAATTATGTGGGACAAACAACGGTAAAAAAGAAATTATACATTTAAATACTTACCATATAAGGACATGTGACATTCTTTTTGGGATTGACCAAAAAGAAAATGGTGCCACATAAAATGGGACGTAGAGAGTAACTAATATTTCATCTAATAGTTGAGACGGTTACACACTTAACACCATATGCATGCAAATCACACTATGTACACGTGTCTCTTAGATGAGACGGTCACACACTTCAACACCATATATATGTGAATTACAATAGATATATTTTGCATGTATCTGAAATACATAATAAATTTCGTTCGCCTCTTTTTCATCTCTCGCCATAGTATATATAATGGTGAATTATATTAAATCATGTAATTTCTCTAATTTTTAATAGGTAAAAGTTTATTTGAATAATCAAAGTCCAAATTTTATACTTGTCAAAGTAGTGATGTTAGCTGATAACCAAACAAACACAAAAAAGTCTAAAATATATACTTAAAATTTAAGTAATGTTTCAAAACAGCGTTAAGAGCCGCCTCTTATTTTATAAATAATTATTCCAGACCCCCCCCCCCCTCCCAACTAAAAAAACCCCCCACCCCTTTTGAAAATATTATTCTCTACATTTTAATTTATGCATCTTAATTTAGTTCAACATGAGATTTAAGAAAATATCTCAAAAATAATTTATAATTTTAAAACAAAATGTTTAATTTTAAATCGTGTTATCTTTAAAATAACATTTACGATATTGGGTTAAAGAAATTTGTCAAATAAAAAGTGATATCTTTTTTCTAAAGGAATATTTAAAAAAGACATATAAATGGAAATCATCCTTATAATTAATTTATGTAACTTTTTGTATTGGTACATCTCTTTAAAAAATTATATTTAATACTAATTTAAACTTTTTATTCTTTTTTCGTAGCCTGTTTCTTAAATTACGTACTAATAAAATATTATCATCAGCTGAGAATTGAGATAATAACTAATGAAAATATATAAAATAAACTTAAAGAAGATAAGAGCCGCCACCTAAACATTTGATTTTTGCCAATTAAAAAGTCCATCCACTATTTATTTAGCCATGTCTGCTTCGTTAAAATTGAGTGATTTATGAAGAAAAAAGTTCAAATAACGATGTGAAATATTATTTCTAGCTATAAATACATCTCCTTTTACCACTTGTTCCCCATCATGACCTTTTCCTACAACAATAAAATGAGGCATTTTGAATTCATAGTTTTTTCTTTACTATTTTCTTCACCTTTGCTGACTGCCTCCGCAGAGCAATGTGGTGTGCAGGCAGGAGGTGCGCTTTGTGCCGCGGGACTGTGTTGCAGCAAATTTGGGTGGTGTGGTTACACTGATGCCCATTGTGCTCCCGGCAATTGTCAAAGCCAGTGTCGTGACAGCCCCGAACCTTCTGGGGACCTTAGCGGTGTCATCTCAAATTCCATGTTTGATCAGATGCTGAATCATCGCAACGATAATACTTGTCAAGGAAAAAATAATTTCTATAGCTACAATGCATTTATTAGTGCTGCCAAGTCATTTCCTGGCTTTGGCACCTCTGGTGATACCACTGCTCGTAAAAGGGAAATTGCTGCCTTCTTTGCCCAAACCTCTCATGAAACTACTGGTATATATATCAATTTAAATTTGATGAATTCAATAATTAGATCGGACAATTATGATTTTATTGTGAATCTAGAAATTGGTAAAATTCGTCGAATTATGCCTTGTTAGGAGGATGGCCTACGGCACCAGATGGACCCTACGCATGGGGTTACTGCTTCCTTAGAGAACAGGGAAGCCCGGGCGATTACTGTACACCAAGTAGTCAATGGCCTTGTGCTCCTGGAAGGAAATATTTCGGACGAGGCCCAATTCAAATTTCACAGTAAGCTACATAAGTCTATTTGTTCTATGATAAAATTTGATGAACTTGTAGCGTCTAATGTATTTTGACATTTCAAAACAGCAACTACAACTATGGGCCATGTGGAAGAGCCATTGGAGTGGACCTTTTAAACAATCCTGACTTAGTAGCAACAGACCCAAGCATCTCATTCAAATCAGCTATATGGTTCTGGATGACCCCTCAATCACCAAAGCCTTCTTGTCATGATGTCATCACTGGAAGATGGCAACCATCTAATGTTGACCAAGCAGCTAATCGCCTCCCTGGATTCGGTGTCATCACAAACATCATCAACGGTGGCCTGGAATGTGGTCATGGGAATGATAACAGGGTTCAGGATCGAATTGGATTTTATAGGAGATATTGTGAAATTCTTGGAGTTAGTCCTGGTAACAATCTCGATTGTGGCAGCCAGCGGTCCTTTGGAAACGGACTCTTAGTCGATACTATGTAACAACTTCATCCCTTGTTTTGTTGTATTCTCTTGTAACCTATAATGTCTCAGCTATAAATAAATTGTGATAATAGTCTGAATGTCTGATGGGACCTGACTATAACTGCTTGTAATAATAAACAAAGACACTTGCCACCAAAAGTTCAATCTTCGAAATCAAATAAATGTGTATATGCTTACAACCTAAATATATCAATTATTTAGGCATCTTTGGAAAGTGTAAACTCTTGCACAATAATAAAAGTTGGCAGAAGTGGAAGTTTGGCTTAATGATCTTTCTCTTTAAAAGGAAGAGTGCGTTTTTATTATCGGATTAATTAAAAGGAAAAAATATACAGATAAGTAAATATATATTAATTAATTATTTAATATAATATAACTTGTGATTAACCGTTATTTACATATTTACATCTCCTCTCTTATTCTCTCACGTCATGAATCTAGCTTGCTTTTCTCCTCTTTTTCAGTCATCTCTTTTGCCTCTCTCCTCTTCCCTCTCTCGCTTTTACAAACATAAAACAAAATACAAATACAAATATTAATAGTTGTCTATATAAATACAAATGATAACAATTAATTATACAATACCAATTATCTGCCAATCTCATTGCTACTTTATTTTGTCCAATTGTTCTCGCTTGTACGAATACAAATGTTAGCTATTTTGATACAAACATATATTAAATCAATTATACAAAAACAAATGATAGTCTCGACTATACATATCTCTTTAGTGATACAAATAGGAATACACATATGTTCGTCCATACAAACATAAATACAAATGATGACAATAAATAATACATTCAAACACAAATTGATATGATTATACATAATTTATTAATTGATACTAATACTATTGTATTCATTGATACAAATACATACTAATATATACAATTATGTAGGTATATAAATATAATCACTAATACATACAATTACATATATATAATTATCTAATACAAAAAAGGGTAAATTACATAAATATGCAATATTAACCATTTATGTCAATATCATTTTTTTAACTAAACAACAATACGTTAGAATCCTTCGCCCCTTTTTCTGTCTAACTTTTCTCTTCCTCCTTTTTTCTACTTCTTCTTCATTGTCCTTCCTGTATCATTTTTCTTCTTCTTCTTTTTTTTTGAATTTTTCATTTAAATTAAATTATTTTTTGCTTATATTTTATTAATTTTATTTAAAAATACGACAAGAAGAGAAATAGGAAATTAAAAGAAATATACAATATCATGTTCTCAACTAAATTTTCAAATCTTAAAAATTATACAAACGAGAGATCAACATTGATGGTCATTGTATAAATTTTAATTTTGAATTAATTATAGGAATTTTACGAATTTGTATTTAGTTTGGATAGGTTATTTCTACAAGTAATTGAAAATGTCTTTTGAAATTTATAGCACAATTTTAATAGTATTTGGTTAAGTTTATAATTAATTTTAGGAGATGTATTAGATTGAAACTCGAAAAAGATGAAGTTTATGAAACGGCATCGCGATTGTGTTAAAGTTATATTAGATATGTTTCGTGATTGCATTAAAATTGTATTAAATTCCCAAACAATGCATTTATAATGCATAACACACTTCACTTTTTTTCCGTGATATCAACAAAAATAATTTAGTAAGCACTTGTAATACATTTATAACATATGCACAATACATTTGTAAAACATATTGCAAACATTACTCATGTTCTTAGTGATACAAAGTAAAATAATTTACAAGACACATCTGATACATGTTTTATTTATAATAATACAAGTTTAATTTTGTCTATAGATTATTGTCTTGTCTTTTGTTAGTTACTTTTTTCATTTATTGTTAATTTTTTCTTCTAATTCAACTTTAATATGTGTGTAATCCATTTTTTATTCAAGTTTAATTCATTTGGCAGTTTATTATGTTTATTCATTTGTTACAATTAGATTACTTATCTAATTAATTGTTGATACAAGTTTTATTTAGTTTACGAATCATTAACTGCTCTTTCATTTGCAATTAGTTTGGATAGATAGTTTCTACAAATAGTTAAAAATATCGTTTGGAGTTTATATTTAATTAAGAGGGTTCAATTAACTTTAGAATTGACTTTAGGAAAATTATTAGATTGAAGCTTGAAAATGATGAAGTTTATAGAACAATATCGCATTTGTATCAAAGTTGTATTAGATATGTTTCATAATTGTATTAAAAATGTATTAAAATCATGAACAATACATCCTACATTTATAATATATATTGCAAACTTCACTCCCTTTTTAATGATATCAAATAAAATAATTTGGGTAACACACTTATAATACATTTTTAATACATGCACAATACATTTTAATACATATTGCAAACACCACTCACATTCTTAGTGAAACAAATCAAAAAATAATTATAAGACACATATAATACATGTTTTATTCATGAATAATACATTTATAATATGTATTGCACACTTCACTTTTTTTTCGGATACTAACAAGAATAATTTAGATACACACTAATAATACATTTATAAAACATGCACAATATATTTTTAATACATATTGCAACCATCACTCATTTTCTTAGTGATAAAAGAAAAATAATTTATAAAATACATATGGTATAAGTTTTATTCATGAATAATATGAGTTTAATTCCGTTTATAGAATGTTGACTTGTCTTTTATTAATTACGTTTCCCGTTCATTCTTAATTTTCTATTCTAATTGAACTTTAATATTGTGTAATACAATTTTAAAGCAACTGAATTTATTTTGCAATTTTTTGATTTATTTGTCATTGTTGAATTACTTGTTTAATTCACTATTAATACAAGTTTTATTTACTCTATAGATCATTTTTTTAATTTAACTTTGGTATGTGTGTAATACATTTTTTATTCAAGTTTAATTCATTTTGCAATTTGTTATGTCTCTTTATTTTTTGTGATTAAATTATTTATTTATTTAATTAATTACTGATACAAATTTTATTCATTCTATGATTATTGACTACTCTATGACAGAAAATGAAAAGAAAAACAAAATGAAAAAAACACTAGAAAAAGAGAGAGCGCAGCAAAGAGAAAGTAAAAAATAAAAAATAATTTTAAAAAAGCAAAGAGATAGAGAGATCAGCAAAGAGAAAGCAAAAAATTAAAAAAAAACAATTTAAAAAAAAGAGTAAGAGAGAAAGGGCAACAAAAAGGAGTGAGAGAAAGAGAAAAAATTAAAAAGCTGAGAAAAAAAAGAGGCAAGACAAGAAAAAAGTAAAGTTAGTTTAGAGATAGATCACGTAAATAAAGAAATTAGAGAAAATATAGCACGGATAAAATATTTAGAAATAATTCCTTTTACAATAGCCCTATAGGATAAATGTATATGAGAAGACCCCATAAAAATACTAAAGAATATTGTAAGGTTAAACAAGAATTATTAAGTTTATATTTCGAATATACAAAATATTTAGAAGAAATAAAATTAGATAATAGCGAGAAACTAAATAACCTATTATTTTCAATTAAAAAATCAAAATACAAGTTATTAAGACACCTTAGATCAAGAAATATCCAGATTAGAGGCTACAAGTTCTATGAAAAAACATCCTTTTACTAGAAGTGTAAAAATAAATTATTGATATTTATATAGAGAACTAGAAGAAAAACAAAGATTACAAAAAATAGAAAAATGTATAATAGAATACTTAAATATATATGAAAATCAATTATTTACACTAGAAAATTTTTATCTAGAAAGACATACAAACGAAGAATACATAAGCGCTTTAAAGTGAGAATTACAAGGAATTAGAAATAAAATTTACAATTTTACTAAAAGAATGAAAGACCATAGGGAACAGTGTAAAATAACACCTTTAGGATAGAATATAGTAAAAATAGGTTCTTTAAAAAATCTAGAATACTTAGATTTACGGATAAATATAAAAACAAAATTTAAAAGGCTAAAAGACGATAGTGTAATAAAGTGTAATTTTGAAAACGGATGACACTGTTTACACACTACAGAAGACTCTAAATATAATACCCTAATAGACTTAATAATAAATTTTAGTTAAACAATTAGAGAACATAATAATAAAATTATAAAATTACTAGGTGAACAAGAAGAAACTCAAAATAGACAAAAACAGTTTTTCAACAAAATAGAGGGTAATTTAGATTATATTAAGGAACAAGGAATTGAATTAAATAAAAAATTAAGCAAACTAAAAAACAAACAAAAAGAAGAAGTTAATAATACATTAATTATAAGAATACAAGAGATAAAAACAGAATTAACATTATTAAAAGAAATAGTTCTTTCATGATAGATTTAGTGTAAACTAAGACACACAAAGAAGCTACTACGTTAATAGAAAAAAGAATAACTCTTCCAACAGATAACAATGAGTTTAATCCATCTTCAAAATCAGATCAATTTATCATAAAACAAAATAATATAATAATAACACTATTATTACAAATAAATAACAAAATAAATTAAAAAAAAATTAAAGAAAAAAGAGAAAGTAAAAATATAACAGAGGTAGAGGAATTAATAGAAAAATTAGCTAAAATAGAAATCACTCCACAAAGAGAAAGAACAATAAAGAAATAAAAGAAATGGACATTTTTCAGCTAGATCAAGAAATGAAGGACCAGAAAGACCTAGACCAAACTACTCCCGAAATAGCATCGGTAATAATTTTATATCGAGAATATTAAATAAAAGAACTAAAGAAGAAAACAACCAACAATTAGATGAAACAATAGATGTAGATAAAGATGTACAAATTTTTCAACGAAATTAATTAACATTGTTAAACCCTAAAGTTTTATATAATACAAATTACCTTAACAAATCTCAATTATATAGACACTATAGAGAAGAACAACTATCAGTAATAGAAATAATTCGGTAGCCCTAAATCTTATAAATTCAGATTCCCTAATAGAACTAAATAATGTAAGAAAAGACTTAATGCATATGCGACTAATAATAATAGGTGTTAAAGGATTTACTAGAAAAAATTTAGGAACAAAGATATTAATTATAATATATGATGACAGATGATCAGACCTAAAAAAATCAATTATAGGATTAAGTGACGTAGATATAACAAATAATGGAGAAATATTTTATATAAA